TTTCTTCCCTGATTCTAAAGAGTTTTACTGGATTATTTAATAATATCTAGAAATATGTCTTGCAGATAATAACTAACCATTTGAAACAAGGAAAAGCATAAAGAAAGATGCTGCAAGTGAGATTGACTCAGTCAATTAAATTTCTTCTAAATTCAACAAGAAAGTAAAAATATATTTTAATGTGTTATGATTTATCAAATTTTATATACATATTCTGTCACAATATTCAAATGATTCTGTTATCCTATGAAATAAAAAGGTTAATTCATATATATTTAATTTTAAAGGAAAATGTCATAACATATAAATAATTGTCAACATATAAATAATTGATTAAATTGTAAAGTGTGAGAAATCACCATCTGCCATAGGTGCTAGGAGGGGTCAGATAAGGCTTCACTGACAACTAGATTCTACTTGATCTGAGCCTTAATGTTGGCTGGGTTTGGTTTAACACAAAGACAAGAGATGGGATGGAAAGCAAGAGAGCAGAATGAGCGAAGGCCCATGGCATGTTCAGGAGTAGATGTTTCTGTGATGAAGAAGAATCAAAAGTGTAGAGAAAAATTGGCCAGGGATATCTATGGTTTTATGAAGGGCAAAGAAAATCAGAATGCTGGGCTGGGGATTTAGCTCAGTGGTGCCACTGCCTGCCTCTCAAGCACCAGGACCTGAGTTAGATCCTCTGTACCAAAAACAAACAAACAAAAATCAGAATGCTAACATTTCAAACTTTTGTTGACTTTTGAATTTTTTTTCCCATGTGGCAAACAGAACAAAAAGCATATTTTCTTTTGTTTGTTTGTTTGTTTGGTATCGGGGATCGAACTCGAGTCCTTGGACTTAACGAGGCAGGCACCAGAACCACTGAGCTAAATCCCCAGCCCCAAAAAGCATGTTTTGTGGCAATTCCAGCAGACAACTTCTTCCCCTCTACTTCTCATATGAGCACCAAATGGAGACACCACTCGTTTGCAACTTTTGAATTTGCTTCTTTTGTTTTCCACAAGTAGTAAAGCTTTGCCTTTGAAAATTAAAAAGGAGTATCTTCTAGTTCTCCATGTAAATACTGCAGTACATTTAGTGACCTGTCAAAGTGTAAGTTAGAAATCTGACAGTTTCAAAGGAAGCGATGACTCATTTCTCTGATTCATGGTCTGTCAATCAATCACCCTGCCACCTTACTTTTAAGCCAAGTTGTCTAAGAAGTTATATGGTCTCATTCTGTAGTGACATCCAAATATATCTTCTTCATAGCACAACTTTATATTACAGATGAGAAAAATACAACAATTAGAATTTGGATTCACCTGTTTGAATTCTGACTCTAATCTGCTAAGTGTGTTACCACATAAAATTTACATCTTAAACCTGAATCAGGGTTGGAACGCCCATATTGTAAAGCTGTGGTGGGGTTAAATGAAAAATAAAACATCTGAAGGCCCACTATCTGCTAAGTTCTGGAGAGCCACTAGTGAACAGGAGGCAATTCAGGCACTTGAGCAACTCACAGGTGCACAAGGAAACCAATTATTTTTCTCAGACCACCAGTTCATCTCATTCATTTTCCTCTCAGAGAATGTCTCATTGAATGAGTAGTCTTTACGTAGTCATTATCCCAACATCTCTTGTCTCTTCTCGGCTCTTTGTCCTTTCTCCCCTATCATACCAGTGGAGGACTTTTCTTAGGGTTAAGGAAGGCCTTAACATTGTCAAATCCAGTGATTGCTTCTTTTGTCTCATTTATTTGGCATCCCAGTATTTGACTCTCTGAACAACTTCTTTTACAAAACTTGATTCACTTGACTTCCATAGTAACATTCTCTCCAAGTTTTTCTCCTCTCTTATTTGCTGCTCTTTTCAGCCTTTTTGGATAGTTCTTTAGCCACCACAAAACATCTTAATAACAAGCTTTTGCCCTTGAATTTCAACTTTATGTCTGATTGCCATTTCCGGAACTGTAGAATATTATCACACACAACTGCCTAAATCACATAGTCATGTAGGTGCCAGAAACATAAATCAAACTCAGACTATCCAGAGTGAAACTTTTGATTCTCAGTGTCCCAAAGACACACCTTTCCCAGCAGCTCCACCTCAGCACATTGCACCACCATCACCCGAAGAAGAAACTAGCAGTGTTCTCGTGGGCACATTTTCCTCACATTTCACATGGAATCCCTCACTGAGCTCTGACACCAGTACCTCCTCCACTTAATCTGTTTGTTTTTCTCCATCTCCAACCATTACCATCCTAGTTTTCAGCCCACCATCGCTGATCACATGAACCAAAACAGACAACTGTTCCCTCAGTCTGTTTTACCCTCCTCTTTCCCACATAGTAATTGGAAGAATTTTCAAATATATAAATCAGATCACATAACTTCCCTTGCTTAAAAACCTTGCAGTGATTAGCTGTAATACTTGGGTGGTGCTTTTACATCTTTACCCTGGTCCTCACGGATCGGCAAGGTCTGATTCCTACACACTTTCTGACTTCATCTCTCATCTCTTCTCCATCTTAACAAGCATGCACTGGGTACCCCAGTCTTCTTTTTGTTCCTCAAACATGAAACATGAAACATGTAAGACTCATTATTCTTAGGAATCTTTACACACATTTTTTTTTTAAGCCTGGAATGATCCCCCATCAGATACTCACTTTGTTGAGTATGATAACTTCTGGGTCTCATTCAGTTTGAATATCAGCTCCTCAGACAGGCTTCACGACCATATAAAAATTATTCATTTCACTTTCATCATGCAAGTTATCACTACCCCCCAATCCATCTACTGGGTGTTAAGAGCCATGAGAGTGGGTAGTAGGGACCCTTTTGTGTCTTACTGAATTATGTCAACCTTGAATGATCGCCACAGAGTATGTGTTCAATACATGTGTGTTGAACAAGTAATTTGAAAAGTATTTTTAAAAGCTATACTACCAGTGAGTAAAAGACTCTTTGGGAATTCAGAGCAGAGATATATACCTTTAAAAATCTTAAACTGGGGCCGGGGATTTAGCTCAGCGGTTTGGTGGCCTGCCTTGCAAGCACAAAGACCCTAGTTCAATCCCGGGTACCAAAAAAAAAAAAAAAAAAAAAAAAAAAAATTCTTAAACTGACCGTTTAAAAGGATTATTTGAAATTTAATGCAGCTCATTGAGGTGAGGAAAAACAACTCAGAGAGGAAAGAAGAGCTAGGAAGTAGAAGACAGCAGAGTGTCAGCTTAGCAAACATGTGCTCCTGTGTGGCTGGATGGTGCTACAGCATTCCAGAGGGAGCACAGGCCAGAGGGTGGAGACAGGGAGGCATCAGATAGACCCAAGCCGCCTTTGATGTCATATTCAGGAATTCTCACAGCTTCTGTACAGGGAGCCTAAGTCATTGAGGGCTTTAGACAGGAGGATGACCTTACTGGATTTGTGGTTTTGAAGAATTTCTCAGAGCAATGCAGTGACTGGCAGGAGGGGAGAGTGGCTGGTTTGGTATTGCCCAGGAATTTTCTCAATGTTTCTGCAGAGTAAGGGGTGATGAGGATGGAGAAAAGGTAACTATGACAGTGGGAGAGGTAGGGTCAAAGCAAGGTTGTATTTATTTAGTCAGGACCGTAAGAAAAAAAACATGGTCATTCTCAGTTTTGGATCTTGACTACTCTATAGATAGTAGCAAGACATTTTTGTTGCTATTTTTGTGTTTCTCTTTAGACAGATGTCTATTGAGTGGTTTTATGCACAGGTCTGGATATCAAGAGAGGGGTTTGAATGGAGGCTGACTATTTGAGGATTGTATTCATGAACAGGTAAATTCCAACCATGGCTGGTGACTCACTGAAGAAAGAGTACGGCAAAAACACAAAGAGGAGACTTTGGGCAAGCAAACCAAAACTGTCTATAGTGAACAGAAGAGTGTTTGAATAAGTCTGCAAGTAATTTCTATAGTCAGAAAGAAAACCAGAAAAGAATGATATTATACAGCCATAGAAAAGAACTAAAAGAAGAGAGAGTAACAACACTGTCATATTTCACAGAGGAGCCAAGTCAGACAGGGATCTTTTGCATGGGAAGCTACATGCCACTTCATAGATACTAAATATCTATTTTTCTCTCTCATATCTGTTAACATACCTCTTTCCCCTGCAAGGCTGAGTGATCCTTGAGATGAGAACCATGTTAAAAGCCTAACACTTAGTAGGTCAGTGATGGCAAACCTTTTAGAGCTTTCAGTGATACAAACAGCCTGCTTGGCATGCATGCCATAGGTTCGCCACTACCGTACTGGGCCTTCAATAAAAGTATGTAATTAGTTATTAATTAATTGATATAACAATTAGCCTTTTGAAATACTAAATTGATTTTTCTATCAATTCTTTGATGTGAAATTAAAAAGCATCATTTGGAAATTAATATTGGTATGTTTTCTTCAAGTGAAGGATATATGGACAAAGTTTGGGAGTTCCTAAAAGACATATTGCCTGAGTTTAAGCTGTCAGAAGAGCCCAGCTTTGAAAGCAAAATACCAGTTATAGATACAAAGTTAAAAGAAGCGGGAAAAATGGCAAAGGACAGCAAAGAAGGAAAAGATGGAAAAGAAGCTAAAGACTCCAAGGAATTCAAACCTGAACCTTCCGTGACGACACTGAAAGGCTCTGAGAAAAGTGACAGAATTCTCAAGGGTGAGACATTTTACTCCAAAATACTGCCCAACATGAACATTGCATATAAATACAGAGTCTGCAAAAAAATGTATGCACTATTCAGGAAAGAAAAACTTGTATAAATATTTTAATACTGAATTTATTGAGACATCGTGAGGTTCGTATGAGTCACCTTTGGCCTCTACAATTCCAAGAGGTGTTCGGAGTGGTGCATTTCTTCCGGGCCTCTCTTTTCCAGGAATCTTCCATTCCATTATGTTCCAGGCATTATTAGTATGGTGAACTGCTGCTTGGGTGACTTTGATCATTGAAATTTTTGCACATGTCTTTTCAATTTCTTCTCTAAGGGCCAGCAGCGTAGTGTTTTTGTTTGTTTGTGATATATGACATCCTCTGTCATCTCCCATACAAGGGTAACACCATCTGTTGAAAAAAACATGCTATTTTTCTTTTCCTGAAGTTTGTGTGCATTTTTTGTCAGACTCTGTAGTTTACAATCCTGTTGACTCTAATGCTTCTTTTATTTTCACTGCCTTAAGTGCTGTGCCAGGTAATTCAAATCTTTTCTAGAACTTTAGAATTTAAAAAAGTGCTTTCTATATATTAATTCCTATTCAAAATTGTATAAATTAAAGGTCATCCTCTACTAAATTAATGCAGTGTTAATATTGGAAAAATATCAAATCCTAAATTTCCACTGAGCACTCCTTTCTTATGTTATATGCAGAGTGGGATGAACTAAAATAGCAAAGGAGAAAAGTTATCCTGTTTTGTTTAGAGGATGTGAAATGAGCACAGATTAATTATGATTTTCCAATAATTTATTCAGAGGTGGTCATTCAAGTCTGAAAAAAAAATAAATTCAACTTATTTTACAAAGGGCAGAAATGTCTTTTCTTAAAATGAAAACTAATATTGATTACTTATTTTGTACCTACAAAAATATATAGCTATGATTATGAACAGTGATACTTGTAAAATAAAATTAAATAAGTAGAAAATACACAGAATTTTTTTCTGTATATTTTGGTAGTGTCTAAAATGACCAGTTAAATATTTTTGTTTCCTATTGATTTTTTTCATAATTACCCCTTATCAAGAATATATCTACCAGGCTGGGGATTTAGCTCAGTGGTTCCGCCGCCTGTCTTGCAATCTCAAGGAACTGAGTTTGATCTCCAGTACTATAAAAAAAAAAGAATATATCTACCAACATTTCTTACCATATATTATCCAGAACTTTGTAGTTTAGGTTTTCCTAAAAAAATATACAGTACCAAGATCACATGTGTGAGTTATATCCCCTCTTGAAATGACCTAATGTGCATTAGTTTATGAAAAAAAAGGAAATAAAGAACTCTGACTGCATTAGTCAGCTTTTCCATTGCTGGGACAAGTACCTGACACCCACAACTTAAAGGAGGAGAGGTTTACTTTATCTTTAGGCTTTGGGAATTTGATCCATAGTCAGCTGGCTCTGAGGCAGGAATATCATAGTAGAAAAGGTTGGTGAGAAAAGTTGCTTAGCTCATGGAGGCCAGGAAGCAGACTAGGAGGGAAACAGCATCAGAAGAAGAAGGGCCAGGGAATAGATACAGACCTAAACCACACTGCCACGACCCACTCAGACATGCCTATCTACTAATCTGCTAGGTGTTTCTTAATTCAATGAAATGAACATATCAGGAGTAGTGGTTGCACTGACTAAATTTATTTTACCTAGTATATTCCAAGTTAATTTGCTTTGAACAGTTTCAAAACTTAACATGCAGCCACCCAGCCTTCTTATTAACTTATCCAAATATACTCCATGCTGATTAGAGAACCAGCAGTTTTCTAGGAATTAATGAGATCTCGATAAACCATCAGATGTGGAACTCACCTCCTGGAGTTTATAGTGAAGGAAACTAACACTACTACTAATAAAAATAACGTGTAACTATACTAAAATGCGAGCTTTGAAGGGAAATGCCATAAACTATGACAGTTCTTATGGGGGACCAGTGTTAGTCTGGATGGTGGGGGAGAATTTCCTGGGGAATATTGATTTGTGTTTGCAAAGGCGGGAAGGAATCGCCTAGAGAAGGGGACTGCTGAAGGGAGAGCACACCAGGCAAAGGAGAAAGCAGGTATCAAGGTTCCGGGGCAGTGAGGGATGGAGATGTGTTTGGGGACTGGTACAGGATGTGTTTAGGTGAAGGGATAGAATAACTTGAGAAGAGCCTGGAGAAGAAGGAAGAGTGATCAGATCGATCCGTCTCCTAGATCATGTTACAATTACTAATCTTGATCCATAAGAGTTGACGACAGCCAAGACTTTAAAATAGAATCACAGTTTAATTTGCATTTTCAAAAGATCACTCTGGCATTGCCGAAAAGAAAAGTTTGTGGGGTGGGAGAGGGCATAGGTGACATGAGTGGATATTGAAAAAAGTTTGTCAACTGTCACAGCTCACGTTTGAGAAGGTAGCAGTTTAGAATAAGGAGATAGGCTAGATGCAGTGGAGATGGATATAAAGTGACTGATGTGAGAGCTATTTAAGAAGTAAAAAATGACAACTTGGTAAAGATAACACACGAAAGTTGAAATTCCTGTAAGATGGTCGAGTTACTTTTTTAGATAGAGCCCTCAGCAGGTGATATGCATTTGGGAGACCTTGACAAGTACATGCTGAAGAAACCAAGGAGACAGTACAGAGTGCCAGGCCATCTAAAGGAAGTGGCACAGCCCAGGAAGAGCAGTGGCTGCTGGGTTCTCATAGATGGGCAAGCTCACAAGAGAGGTGGGTCACATGCATGTGGGTACACGACCTTGGTGGAGAGGTTGAAGATTTCTGACAAAAATCTCCTTTCCCTGTTAATAAGAAAGTTATCTATGAGCTGTAAGGTAGAGATAGAAGGTGTAGACTCATGGAGATTTAAAATAGATATGAGGTTTGTAGAAGTTGGAGAAAATAATCTCCAGCAAGATCAAGTTGCAAAGTTTATTTATATGGAGGTTTGCCAGATTAGTAGGATTAAATGACAGAGGAACATCTCTGAGGTACTGATAAAAACACATTTCAGTGAACACTGTTGTATACTATCTAAACTACTAAATGGAGCAGTTTATTTTTTTCTATTTATTATAGCAAGTCATAATTCTTGAGTAAAAGTTTGAAGACTGCTAAAGTCTAATTTGAAAATTATAAGTGAAATCACATAGTACTACTCCAAATTATTGAGTTAATATATATAAAATCCACAAAATGAAATTTTGATAACCTATTTTACATATTTAAGTTTCCTAGTTAAATGTCTCATCCCATGTTCAAAGTTGTAGTTAATTCTATCTACCATAGGTGTTAAATCTACAAAAGCTAATATATGAAACTACTTCATTTTGGGTGTTAACATTATAAGTAGTTAATGTCACAGTGTTTTATTTATGTAAAAGTTTAAAAGATAAGCACGTGATCAATGATGATTATAAACTTAGCAAATGATACAGAGAATACAATGGTCAAAATCTAAAATTTCTGATTATTACAGAATAAAAATATCTTGGGGTAATTTTTTTACAAAAAAGGAAAAGATGTTTCATAGAAATGTGTTTATGGATGAGAACTCCAATAAATGGCGGGGATAGTTCTGGGTACTGATTTTATTACAGAAGCTATGTTGGCAACAAAAGATTGGTTTGCTGTTGTTGGTTGGATTCCAACTCCTCAAAAAGATATCCTTGAGATAAAGACTCAAAGATCGAGTGTGGTCCACAGTTAAGACCTAACTTAAAGCACATGCTTTGCTGTTTTTAATTTTTATTTTAAAACGAGAAAATTAGCTTCACACTATAACTTCATATAAATAAAAATATTCCAATAATGATCTGCATGAAATATAAATGTATGTGCAAAAATATAGTTATGTAATATAAGCAACCTTGCATATATTTTACAGTAAATGTCCATTTTGAAAATTTTCTCTGACTTTATTGTAATGTTTGTAATTAGATTAAACTATGTTTTGGGGGAAATTGAGGCTAATGTCATATTTAAATAATACTATTATATTGGCCTTTTTTTCAACATGATGACTGAACAAGAAACGCAGTTTGAGGTTCTCTTGTTAAAATATTTATCATGATTTTTTTCTTTTTATTATCATGATTTTTTTTAATATGTTGGAAAAAACAGATGCAAAAGATCTTGGAAAGAAGAGGAGTAAAGATGGAGAAAAGGAAAAGGACAAGGACAAATTCAAACTGTCTCGTCATGGTTCAAGACCCTCATCTGATGTGCATAACTCTGTGCAGTCTCTGTCAGATTGTAAGCCCACGCTCTTTTAGAATGATAACTATTGTAGTGGGTTCCTAAAGTGCTAGAACATGTTGGAATGTAGAAATACATTTTCTCTTTTGAAATATCTTCAGAAGCTTTCCCATATATGTTGGGTCTGCTACAGAAATGGTGGGTGGTGGGGCCAGGTCCTGCTTTGGGGTCGTCAGAAGCAAGGCTGTCCACATTTTTATGGTACCATAGTGATGGGAGAAGCTGTCCATTTTCAGATATTTGTCTGAAAAATACTCAGTGGCTAAATTTATTAACCAAATCCAAGTAAATCCACAGTTACTTGTTTAAGTATTTAGATGCCATCCATCTACTTGAACAAAAAAGCATATATCCAGCTCCTTGCTCACAGTGGGGCTCAGCTCTTTTCCTGTGTTTAAAACAACTAATGAAGTGGGATATTAGACGCAGTTGTCTAAGTCACTGCTCAGAAGCACGTTTCGTATATCATGGTTGTGACAGGATAGATGCAAGAGATCTAGTTATATAATACTACTATATAGAGATCTTTTTTTAGTGAAAATGTTCGGGTTTCTATGACAGCTATTTAATAGTATGTTGAAAAACCTCCTCAAAGCCTCCCCTTTGAGTGCATGAGGCTTTGGGGGGACATCTAGGAATAAGCCATGACAGAGTAGTGATAGTGGGTTCTTATCTGAGGTGATATTTAAGCAAAGTGTTGGATGAAGCCTCATTTCTCCTTACTACATATAGTAAAAGATGAGAGAAGAGCTGTAAATTGGAGGAATTGTGAAGCATAAAAAGAGCAAGAACTTAAAAATATGAAGAATCCCCAGCCTAATCTTACTGCAAAACATCAGAAGTGTAGCTGGACAGTGGCTTAATAAGGAGGTCACCCCTGGAGATAATCAGTCATCTCAGCAAAGACCGGGAAGAGAGATGAAGTTATACTGTTGAGACATGGCCAGAATGGGGCTGAGAAGAAGAGAATGGAATGAACAAAGGCTGTGAATTTCTGGGATGGTCCAAAGCCGAACAAGGGTTCTCTTGCTTTGAATATGAACTTCTATTATCCTCCAAGAGAAGAGGATAACCCCAAGAGTGACTCATAGGTATTCAGGGCTGCCACCCTCA